TTTACATTCATATCGTTCTCTTCTACTTGCCACAGTTATCCGACCTTATTTCATTTAAATTTCGTTAATGTACCTCCGACCCGAACAAGAGAGTTTAAATACTGCAAGCTATCAAGTCTAGCCATTTGTCAATCTAAATGGTTGTCTGTCATGGTGACCTCGTCAGAATGTACTGCAAAAAATATATACAATTTTATACCGTTACACACTGTATTTTAATCTTGTTCACATTCTCTATTTGTACCTGATGTCTGTAAACCAATCACTGTATCTATTCAAAGTGTACTTTGCTGGACTTTAAGGGTTTTATTGGAAGAATTTAAGCTCAATTCCTTAAATAATGGTCTACATTTTTTTTTAAATGTCTGATATCAATAGAAAATCTCTTTCTCCCTTAAGTTAATTATATGCTAAAACAGAGTTTGCATAGTTTGTGCCTATTTAAATGCATTATTAAATTTCAATCCTGTCAAAATAGTCATATTTTTTTCCTTTTGCTAATATCCAGTCCAAATATGGGTTTGTTCAATGTCAAGTTAATTAATAATAACATTTTATCACCCAATTGTTTTATGTTAGAGACCTTGTTTTGTGTATTATTTCAAAGCGCAATTTGTTCATATTAATTTGGTCGTTTCATAAGCCTGATTCCGAAGCATAACTCGGCTATTCTATTTTGCATGATGCACTTTTTCCAATAAAGACCCAAATATCGCCGGAGAACTATATTCGTTTAAATTTGCAATTTTAAATGAAAATACAAGTCTCTTAGTGATCATTTCTTTCACACTGTATTTTAAATATTGCTTTTTCTTAGAACGTATTAATGTGATAATCATTGGTTTTTTTTCAATTTGTTTTTCCTTTCTTTGATTCATTGAATATAACAGTCTACATTTTTATATAAATAAGATACATTTTAAATAATTATTTAAATCATTTTCAAGTGCTTCTTTATTGGGATATCAATTACTGAAGTATTAAATGCTCTTTTATTTCAAAAGGTATATTTCAATATATATTTGACTATTATAATGTAATATATATTTAACTATCTTGCATATGTATTGAATGGACAGAGACAATTATATATCAATAATACGTGTGTCTAAAAATAGAGGACAATGTCAATTCACAAACACTCACACAAATGTGTATGTATGTATGTATGTATGTATGTATGTATGTATGTATGTATGTATGTATGTATGTATGTATGTATGTATGTATGTATGTATGTATGTATGTATGTATGTATGTATGTATGTATGTATGTATGTATATATGTATGTGTATATATATATATATACACATACATATATACATACATATATATATATATATATATATATATATATATATATATATATATATATATATATATATGTGTGTGTGTGTGTGTGTGTGTACGTGTGTGTGTACGTGTGTGTGCGTGTGTAGTGCATGTAAGGTACTATGGTAATGAACACATAAGTTAAACATCTAAATTTAGTGACGTTGTTTGGTTGTGCCTTCCAGTGCGAAATTTCATGACTGGGACCATAGAATGATTAGGCAGGAGTCAGTCCTCTATTTAAACATGTCGGTTGTGGTGGATGTGAGTGCGGTGTAGCGGAATGGCACAGCGAGGTGTTTGTGTTTGTGGTTCGAAGCTATATTTTAGACAGACTCTGAGATGGAACATGAAGTATTAATGTTTGGCCTTTAGCTAAGTGGAGAGGCCATGCACGTGGGAAACCAGGAGAAGCCACATAGACGGCAATATGGAAATATCATGCAGTTGTAAAGTTATACGTGTGATGTTTGTGGTCATTGATTGGTTAGAGAAAACTTGTTTGTATTCTTTGCGCGTTGTGTAGTCATTCAGTTGTGATAGACAACAAGACGCAACTAAATATATTCTTCCATTTTTTAATCAGTACCGTCTGAGTAATAGTTGTCCACTCTGACAAATTTTATTTAATAATTATTGTCTTTAGATATGTTTGTGAAGTTGCATTCATCTTTATGCTGTTTTCTATGCAAAATTAGATCTTTTTGTTTCCGTTACATAATTGAAAAATTTCGATATGCATAAAAAATGAAAATTAAGTTTCTTAAATCACAGATTCAGTGTCTTCCCCACTGTAAAAGTTTTAATGTTTAATTCAGTATCTCATAAACATAATCCGAGAATTGTTATAAGAAGCGAGCCTATCGATGCCATTGTTAGAGTTATCTTCACCAATGTGACATGTTCAGTTCAATTCAATTTCAGTACTTTCTTAATCTAACATTTTCCAAACATAATTCTTAAAGTTTTATAGTTACTTTTTGTCGAAATTATAATGAGTGTTATCCTCACCGACTTGATACATTCAGTTCCGCTTTATAACAATTGAATTAAACTTTTATCCCAATATGTTTGAATTTTATTAATGCGCATATCAATTCAATTCAAACCAGCACTTTCTCTTTGCGGGCTTTCTATTTAACAAAGAACAATTGTCACTGTATTATGCTCTGAATTGAGACATAATAAATCTGATAAAATTTATAATTCTTCAAAAATGGTATATGATAATAAATTAATAATATGGTACTAATATTTACCATGACATTGTTTGAAATTATTACATAACGAGACGTACCTCAAGAAAACGACACTATGCTGGTTTTGTATAAAGACCAGACTACTTTTATAACTATAATCTGCAACTTTTGTTGGTGTGTTTGTTAATAACTGAATCAACTTGTGCTGAACTTGAAATAATTAAATATTCGACTTTCCCGTATTCCCATTCCCCAGTCATCAGATACGAAGCATACTCGACCACGGTGCCATACTCTGAAATAGTCGTAAGTGGACAAAGCTCCGCTGTTACAATATATATGACATTAATGGTTCGAATAAATGGAGATCTGAGCAGAGATATTGAACAACATATGCCTTGGATACAGCAAACAGAAATTTAGTTTATTGGATAAAACAAAATAAATAAAATTTTAATGGACCAATTGCAAGATGTACCTCTACCAGAAAAAAAAGAAAGGAAATTCATCAATTATCTCAAAGTTCTTCAATGTACTTAGCAACACTGTATATATCAAAACAGCAAAGTTGATCACGAAATCGTGTGAGTGTTTTGAAATTGAAATATCCTGCATATCGTCCATAACCTGATAAGTGGCTGCTGTTCTCTCTTCCGAATCCGCGTATTTAATATTTTGGGTTCAACTTGAACTGGATTAATATCGGGTTTCCCCTTCGCACCAACTTTAAAGGCCTCTCTTGGCCGTTCAGTCTCTTATAGAGGACTTTCAATACATTAATTTAAGGCGTAGAAGCTATTTCCTGATGCAATAAAACAACTGCGACCCAACTCTTCGATCATTCCCTACTTTCTTTCTTTCCGAACAGATCATAATTCCACTCTCCAGTACTCTCATAAAATAGCCTGCATCATGGGTCACAACGGACACTCAACTGTTAATTAGCTTTAGGTGTCGTAATCTTGCATCCAAACAGTTTGGTATTTGTCTACATACGTTCGTGCTTCTCTGTCCATAAATAATAAACATAAAACAGGAAATTAAGGTATTTCTCCATTAGCACTAGTTATCATTGCTAACGGATCGCTAGTATGATCTGCTCTCGCTTAATAACAATTAAGCTACTGCAGCTTAAACTATTAATCAAAGTCTTAAAATAAATGTCGCACACATGCACATATACAGCTGATAATTGTTACAGTCGAGAAGACCATGCTTTTCCTTTCTGGCAAATATAGGCCAGACAGAGTTTACTTTTAAGCGACACGAACGGTAACCATGATATGTTCAATAGTTGCAATAGTATATTCCATGCGAAGAAGATTTATTGTTTGTTCGGGCAAATAAATATACACGCCCATACCTAAAGGCTCTATTTGTCTATAGTTGCATTAATAGACAGTTTTAGGTAGAGATATATGAGATTAATTTGTTTGAAAAAATGACAATTTATGTCGCCATTCTGTCTTTTACAAGACGACTATGAAGAGCATTTTTACAAGGTATAAACGGGGAATGTCTTTCAAATTGATCAATTGTGAATACTTAGATTTTATATGCTTTGTCTGTGTTAATGACCATATCTTTGAAGACTTGATCTTACTATTAAAGTGTGAATGACAAACACACATAATTAACTTGAGCTTGGGATAAATTCTGTTGGAGTAAATTCCTTTTACGCCAATATTTGCTGAGTTTAGCAAAAGCTCATGTCCACCTTAAGCTGGTGCCTAGTTTTGTGTTAATGAATTAAAGTGTAAGAAAACTGCCAAGTTCAGGATCATCTTCTAATATAAGACCTAGAATGAATTAGTATCAGTTTTTAATTGCTGAAAAATAATGTGTATACAGTTCCTTCAGAATAGATGTTTTTAATTTATTTGACATTTAAATAAAAAGGTTTTTTTTTATCTTTTAGACGGTTAAATTGATTGGTTAAACAGGTTTATTAATACTTACATTTTGCTTTACTACAAACTACCGCATGAGGATATAAACATATTATTTTTTTTTTAATAAACTCAAATAACTTAAAATCCAATAAACTGTTTCAGGATTTGTATACCCTGTCCATGCCCGTACTTGGTAAGATTTCATAGTTGTCATCAACAAGAAATATTAGCCGTGTATAACTGCAGATTAGTTCCAATGATAAAGCTCATGGTCAGCGATGTATATTGCACTTTATAATATTATAAAGCCGGGTTGTCATTGGATTTACCGAAAATATTGAAAGCGATTTTGAGAATGAGACATTTATTTATAATGCAAATGAACGATGAATGAATATGACACCATATGTGTGTAACTATGGATTAAAGAAAATGATGAGATCCAGTTTAATAAAGGATGTAATATCCAAAGGAACTAATCAGAACACATAACTTTACGAGTAATCAAACATGAATCAACGCATGCAATTTATAAATCAATATGAATAATATATGGATCTGTCACCATTGATGATCAGTGTGACCGCTTAGTGGTTAGAGCGTCCGCATCGGATGCGAAAGATCGTGGGTTCGATTCCCGGTCGAGTCATACTAAAGACTTACAAAAAATGATACTATCAGCTACCTCACTTACCTCACTAGACGCTCAACATTAAGAGATTAGTGTTAGGACTGGTCGGTCTGTAGTTAGTATAATGTGACTGGGAGGAACATCATGCTACAGCATCTGCAGCATGATACCCCAGTGCAAAACATCGCTATAAACTTCCACACTGCAGACATCGTAACGATATGACTGAAAAATTGTTAAAGCTACGTTAAAAATCATAATCACAATCACATGATCAATGTATATAATATCCCATATATATATATATATATATATATATATATATATATATACATATATATACATATATATATATACATATATATACACATACATACATACATACATACATACATACATACATACATACATACATACATACATACATACATACATACATACATACATACATACATACATACATACATACATACATACATACATACATACATACATACATACATACATACATATGATAAGATCTGTAAATAAGTATGACTAGTGTATTTTTCATCCACAAGTACAATGTATATATTACTGTTCGTCCATCGGTGTCGATGAGGACCATTCGTGTCGTCGGTTCATTTGTGGTGGGTCCTCAGATGGCTAATCAGTCCATTCCGGGCCCTTTGGGGACATAGATGCGCAGGTTGCTAATTGGGAGGTGTAGAATTGCTATTCCTAGATTTGTGCAGAGCATGTTTTCGGCTGTGTCCGCCGGACTTTTCTGCTCAAAGACTGTCGCACCGGTATTGACTCCCAACTGCCAGGGTCAATGCCAAAATTCTCCAGCGATTTCATTCATATACCGGCACTCATTAAACTTAGGCTGCATTTCAAAAGCAATATATAGAAGATTAGCTTTAGATAAATATTGAGGAATAAGGCATAATTAGTCGCTTTTGTGTTTCTGTGCTAGTTATATTTAAAATACATATTTGAAACTTTACAGAAACACATTGCTAATTTAAAAGAAATCAATTATCCGAGTTTATAATGGTGATAATGTGGCATCCACTATAAACTTGGTGAATGTTCCGTTATAAATTTAAACAAGCACCCACTCAAAAATTGTCTTTGGAAAGTGTGTTAGTATAGTTTGTTAGCAGACTGCATTGAGGAAGGGGAGTATGCAGACCAGTTGCAGAGAAGCATAAGTGAGTGAACACTTAAGTTTCACTAATGCAATTGATTACTGGAGAGTATAGAGTAATTGATTGGAAGGATACGTTGTGAATTGTTACGAGTGGGACTACTCTTACGTCATGGTATATATAGAGAAACTAAACAAAGAGGAAACTTGCTTTTGGTCAAATTTCTCACCATGATTCATTAAGCAGGCAATACCTCTAGCCTGTTTTAAACATCTGAATACGATTTCTGAATCGACGAGAAAAGAAAAATGTTTCATCAATGTGACATTTAAAGAAGCCAGCACTAAATATAAATCTTGACACATAAATAACATCCTTATGACTTATTCTTTAAGTGACATAATGTGCGTGTTCTTCTTCGTTCATAGTAATATTACCTTTGAAATGCGCATCGAGTTCTAACTAAATGTAATTCATTAAGCCACTTATTAACAATATTTTAAATTAGCAGCGGAAATCTTATTTTAGCCTTCAAGAAATAGCACAGTCATCAAGGTGAATAGTCATAAGTATACCGTTGATAGCATCTTACATTATTTTAAAGAGGCGCTACTGATCATATTTCCAGATAAGTTTCATGGTATGGCACAATTATTAATTGACATGATTCACATTAAATTGACTGCATTAGATCAGCGTGTGGCTGGATATCACTAAATCTTTTATTTACTAATGAATATAAAAGTTAAATTAAACATAATAAAGAAAGAAACAAATAAATATGACCATTGTTTTATCAAATTATTACAACTTAAAATGATGTTCTTACATCTTTACTGCAGTTACTGACGTGCATACTGGGCATCTTTATCGTAGGTAGGCGTTATCGAACTTCATGTTTGCTTCTCACAGAGGTTACCAAAGACTTGAAGTTATAAGCGGTGTGGTATTTACGCATTTATGAACGTATTTTTATTGTTTGTCTATTGAAAGGTATTGTTGCCATGCTACTGAGAGGATCAGTCGATGAAATTGTCTCAATTTGTATCTGTTCTGGAAAATGGTTGATTGAATCTCTTTCATTCAAAAGGGTTGTGTGATATTCATAAAAGGTAGGCGTCTGGTAAACCCGTGTTTTTGAAACACGCAAAGTTAATTTGTGCGTTATATCATTGCAAAATACACTGCACCACTTATAGGTTGAATTCTAGTCACAGTGAGTCACAGACCACATTTCCCTCGGCAAACATATCTTATGCTTTTAAAGTTCATTGGCCTTGGTATAGATATCACAATCTTGTCTGAAATCACTGTATATATTGTTCAGTTTTATTTACTATCATTCTTACGAATGTCTGCAAATAGAGATTTTCATGGATGTATATCATGCATACATGAGACGACAAGACTTTAATTTAGTAACATACAAGACAGACAATAATTAAATATTGGCATTCACTTTTAATTATGAATTAGCATTGTTATGTGTTAATGATTTCCACTATACTCCAACTCTATCCTTTTATTCCTTGCCTCTGAATATTTTTATAACTCGCTTGTAAGTAGCAAGATTATAAATTATATAATTGTTTTCTAGATGAAACGTAGACTTGGACTGTGTGTATACCTTTAGAATATTAGAATAAATAAATCTAAGTAATCTTTTCCAACGTCGGGTAGGAGATTCATCGGTGACATAAAGTTTAATTGAGTAACAGAATGTCAATTATCGCAACTTAAAGTTGTCTATTAATGCAGTCTTGCAACAAGATAATTGCCGCTCCTTGGGAACGTCATGTGTATTTAACTGTCCAAACATACACTAAATCTTCTGTACGTAGTACATAATGTGACAGCTATTCACAATATCGTGTTTATCTCTTGAGCTGAGTAAAATAAATATCATCTGACCCATATTTGCCAGAAAGAAATTATATGATATTGGCTGGCTTGACACATATAATACATACATAAATACACTACTACAAATTTTAGTAAAAGGTACATTCTAAGATACATTTATAGCTTACTAGATTGTTCTTTTCTTTAAAAGGTAGTTTATATTTGAATTCCTCAATTTCATATAGTTCACTTATAATTATATTGTGTGCGATAACTTACGCAACAGTTTAGTTAAATCTAAAATATGAATAACGGATGAGAGTACACTAAATGCAGTCTATTATTTGTATATTTAAAGTAAGTATACGAATAAACTGCAATATTTACCATCATTAGTTTTCTTTGCGAATTATCTTTATATATAGCAAGATTTCTATATTTCAACTGTGAGGGATAGATAGATAGACAGACAGACAGAAAGATAGACAGATAGATAGATAGATAGATAGATAGATAGATAGATAGATAGATAGATAGATAGATAGATAGATAGATAGATAGATAGATAGATAGATAGATAGATAGATAGATAGATAGATAGATAGATAGATAGATAGATAGATAGATAGATAGATAGATAGATACTAACCTCAGCAGGGGATTTAAGCATTTCAGATTGCGAATTAGATATATCATTACCCTTAAGTGGTATATACCTACTGAGTGCAACATAAAATGTTCGTAATATCGACGATAAGTGGAAGTCAATGCTAAATGATAAAAGATAATTTCACATATAGTATCATCGAAACTTCTAGTTGAGTTTTGAATCTGATCACCTAATTGCCATCTCATTTCAAATACTAAAAAAACATTTCACATGCCATGGTCGACCCGAGTAATATATATATATATATATATATATATATATATATATATATATATATATATATATATATATATATATATATATATATATATATATATATATATATATATATATATATATATATATATATATATATATATATATATGTGTGTGTATGTATGTATTACTTATCGGCTAGTTCAAAGTAACACAAAGAAAGAGTGAAAATAACAAGCTTTGTAAACTTTAACAAAAATAATTTATTTGCCTATAAAACACTTAGAAATGGTAAACATACGAAACAAGACTTACGATATACAAAGAAGATCCAAACATTTGTTCTAAAGTAATAAAAACATAACTCCCGTGAATAAACAGTTTTAAAGTGATACAGTCTGAATTTCAGTTCCGTTCCATGATGATGGATGATGACATCAGACGAAGGTTAACGCAAAATGTCCAGAATTTTCACTGTGAATCACATTTTTTTTTATTTTCCTGTTCTAATCAAGAAAAACTTTTACCAAAAGTCTTTTGTCCAGACCCTTAGTGTTGTTCTCCAGGAAAAAAATTATTTAGAAAGTAGACTAATTATACCTACCACAATACATATGTTCTTCAGACCCATGCAATCATAGTCATTATCATTATAATAATAATTATATTTAATGACATACAAATGAAATAAAAATCAACATATAAATAAAATAGAAAAATTCAATTTCTATCACACATGTAATGTAACTACAGGGTCTTAACAATATGTGTACATGTATGTATTTGTTGGCTTCCGTTAGTCTCGAGAGTCGATGGAAATGTGCCCATGAGAGGGGTCCCAGTTTGTAGTTGTGCAGCGTCTTCTGTGGCTATGGAGCCTCACACGGGAGTGGCAATCCTTGCTGCAGTTGCTGCACTTGAAGGTTGAGTCAGGTTTGAGTTAAAACTGCATCCTCTTCCTTTGAGAGCTTTTCTCAGCAGCGAGCTGTCGTAACTTTTCCTCGCTGGCTTTCAGACCAGTGAACAAAGCTTGTCGCCAGCTGGACTTGTCTGGGGCAAGCTCTTCCCATGAGTTGGCATCGATCCCAAGAGCTTTCATGTCGTGCTTGCAGACATCCTTGAAGCGGAGATGTGGCCGTCCGATTGTTCTTCTGCCAGAGGCAAGCTTAAAGTAGATAAGATC